TGAACAGGGGATGGACCAGGCCACCTGAGAAATGAGCTTTCTCCAAAGGATGGCACACTGAGCCTTTCTTTCTGGCCTCCACATCTGTATTTCCAGGGGCAAGCCTTGTCAACGTCTCACCCCTGTACACAGATAAATGCATCTTGGCTTTACTGATTCAGGTACATCAATGGAAAGACAAGTTGAATTGAAGCCTTCTTCAATGGTTTTCTTACTTTCAACCACAGATAATTCCTTCTAAGTGTTATTGGGCTGGAGGTACTTCGAAGATAGGCTTTCATGGAGAGTTTATTGGGAGTGTAATTAGCCGAGCAATTGTGATCATTTCAAAGTCATTGGAAGCAGATTAACCTCACTGAAGAGAATCAACCACTCAACAATACAATAGCAATCTCCATGTACACACCAACAATTGCTGTGCCACTTAGAAGTGTGTGTACTCAAACAGCTGCTGTAAAACTTAGGCCTGATGCAGCATCTGACATCTCTCCCAGAAAAACAAAACAAAACAAAAAAAAACACACCTCATTCCCCAAGTAAATAGATGTTTAAAGAATGCCTACTATGGGCCAGGCACTCTTTATGTGTTCTGAACCACAATACACAAGGCACTTGCCCTATAGAGCTAACAACCTGGGGGAGAGAAACAATTTTCAAGCTAATTATATAAATAATATCGTTTCAAATAGGATAAGTCAATGAAGAGAAATAACAAAGGGGACTGACTAGTGGGGAGATTCAAGAGATGGCACCTGAGCTGAGACCTGAACGACAGAGAACACGCCTGGCAGAGAGAATGGTGAGTGCAAATGTAACTCAGTCTACACCTGCCTCTGATTAAGGTGCAAGGCCAAGACTTCAGTGAAAATGGTTTACTTGGGAGGTGCAGGAAAGATGAGTAAGGGAACAGGGGAGCAAAACCAAGATGGGGAATGTCTTAAGAAAGGATCATATATAATAAGCCTAATATGTCCAGTCTCCCTGTTGGCTATTCAACTTATCAAAGCATAATATGCTAATGACATGCTAAGGCCACTCAACCACTTGCTATGATGTGCACTGACCACCAGGGGGAAGATGCTCCGACCTGTAGGTGAGCTTGCTGCTGGGTCCAGCCGATCAGGACTGAGCAAAATAGGCCGGACACGCCCTGGAGCCCTCTCGCAGTTTCTCCCTGGCTGGCCAACCTCCCCCATCTCTCCCCGGCCCTGATCGTGCACCAGTGGGGTCCCCCAGCCTAGCCTTCACCCTCTTGCAATCTAGGACACCTTGGGGGATGTCAGAAAGCTGATTTCAGCATAATACTGCAGGACAGGCTGAGGGACCCCACTGTTATACAAATTTGTACACTGGACCTCTAGTGTGTCAATAAAAGATAATCGAGTCAGCTCCATTGTAGGTGAATGAAATGGCATCTCCCAGTGACACTTTGGGAAACAGCGCAGAGCCTACCCCTAGGTTGTCCCACTAAGAAGCATAGAAGCAGGGTGTTTATACTCCAAGCCCGCCAGTCCTTCGTGAGGGCGCTCCCTGGCACCTCTGCCCACTGTTCATGGGCAGGGCGTCTTCCATGGCTGAAGCCAGTTGATGGAAGGCCTGGCCAAGGGACATGAGCTGGGTACTGGCAGCATCTGCTACATGCAGAGAAGGAAAGTCCGTGAGAATGGCATATAAAACCTGTGTGAGCATGCCTGTAGGACATGACGTCTATGAGGAAGTCAGGGACCATCTCATGTGAAGCCTGGCAGGCCATGATGAGCTTAAATTTTAATCTAAGTGCATTGGGAAGAGAGCTGAAAAACAGAGAGAGCAACAGAGAACAGAGGAGGCCACAGAGGAAGCGCAGGCAGAGAAGAGGGTGGCTTCCACCAGCACGGGTGTGTGCAAAGGGGTCGGAGCCAGGTGTGTTGTGACAGGACTGACATGGGTTGGGTGAGGGGAGAGTAAAGGAAACGTGAAGGAGTAGAACTAGCCGACTTCTATGGATTCACAACGCTCATAGTCCATGACTTCATTAAAAAAGAAATCAAAACTATCTTTTTAAAAGCTCCAGTTCTTTTTAACAATGCCATAACGCATGTGAACTATCACTCAAAACAAACGCTAGTGCTTGGGCAATAACCTTCTATTTTCCCTCTATACCAGTGGTCGGCAAACTGGGGCTCGAGAACCATATGCGGCTCTTTGGCCCCTTGAGTGTGGCTCTTCCACAAAATACCACAGCCTGGGAGAGTCTATTTTGAAGAAGTGGCCTTAGAAGAAGTCTAAGTTTAAAAAATTTGGCTCTCAAAAGAAATTTCAATCATTGTACTGTTGATATTTGGCTCTGTTGACTCATGAGTTTGCCAACCACTGCTCTACACCATTCTCCCCGACTCCTCCAACCCAACGTAACCAACACCCTGAATTCATGTATCACTATAATTTATATCATTTATATCTTTTTACTTTATTAAAAGGACATCATACTGTTTATAACTGTAGGGACTTACTGTTTTTGCCCAATAGTATTTTGTTAATATACATCCATATCACTGGGTGTCACTGAAATGCATTGTTTTAACTGCTGTGTGATATTCCATTGGTTAAGGACACTATTAATTTATTCATCCACTCCCTCTTGGTGGGCATTTGAGTTTTCTCCAGATTTCTGACATCGTAAAACAGTGCAGCTATGACCATTTTTGTATAAGCAAGACTTCTCTTAGGCATATATACACCTGTGAAATTGCTGGTTTGAGATATTCACTGTTATAAGAGAGTCCCATTCATTTTCCAAAGTAGCTACATAAAAATACCAGCAATGCCTACAAGACCCTGTCAATCCACAGTCCCTCCAACACTTGGTATTGTCCGAGTTTCCTTTATTTTCTAAACAAATTATTTTGAATTACGATATCTTCCTCGTCTGGATTTGGGTTTCCCTGACCCATAATGAGGCTAAACATTTCTTCACTGGCCTACCAGCCATAAGGGCGTCCTCTTCTCCAAAACATCTGTTCCTGTTTTTGCCATTTTTCTTCGGTGTCTGGAGCACTCTGGACAATACGAAGTGTCAGTATCTGAGCTCACAGTTCGCTTTGAGACATGCCCTCTGCTCGCTCTCGCTCTCTCTTTCTCTCTCTCTCTCTCTCTCTCTCTCTCTCTCTCTCTCTCTCTTCATATAATTTCAAGTAGTTTGGCACTGCTGGGCTTAATGGCATGCAGTTTCCTTTCCATGAGTCATTTTGTCCAACGAACAGAATTCCCTGGAAATGTCTTCATTCCTCAGAATGAAGGGGAGTAATGGTCTTGATTTGGTCTTGGCCTTGATTTGGTCTTGACGTTAAGGCTGAGTGCTCAAAGCCATGCCTTTAGTTTTGAGCTTTGCCCCTAAAGCTATGCCCTATTTTGAGGATATTTTACAGCCCATAGAGGTTGAAAATGAGAGATGATTATTCCCTTCAACACAGTAAATCCCAGAATTTCTAGACTTTCTATGTTCACTTCCAGTTTCTATGCTTGCAAAGGAGCCCGTTTTTATCTGTCATCACTTTTTTGTTTCTTATGAAATATAGTTAGTTGGGCCAAGCTGGCACAGCCATGGGTGAACCTGAGAGAGGGCGATGAAGAATTTAGAAAAGACAGACAAGAGAAGAAATCTGGGTGTTAGGTGGGACGCTGCTCTCTCTGAAGGAGAGACAGTGCCCGACCTGCAAGCCGAGTCTTTATTTTATAGCCGAGATTCCACAAAGCAAAGTAAGGGCGTGGTCAAGATGTTTACAACGTTCTCCTGGGTTTCCAATCTACTCAATCACATACACCTGATCAAGCTTTGTTTACTTGCTGCACCTCCCGCAGTCCATATCATTCAGTCACATGGGACCACACGTTTGGATCATAAGGTCAAGCTTGTAACCATAGCCTTTGGCTATAATTGTGCTGGGGCTTGCAAGTGACTTTGCCATGAAAGGATGGTGCCCTCTCATTAGTCCCAGGCTTGAACCTGTCCAAACGCTGTAGCCGCTCTCCACAGTTAGTAACAACAGCACTAACAATATTCTGTTTCAAAACTACTTCTCTCAAAACCATAAATTCAATGGTTATATTTTCTGCCTTCTCAATCAAGCATGTCAAACTCAAAGGCTAACACGGGCCAAATAAACAAGGTTTTAGCTTATGTGGGCCTCAAAAAAACAAAAACATTTTCATAGAAACGTACGTTTATTTCAATAGTGACATGCTGAATATAAAGGCCTAAAATAAATGAGTTATCATTAACATAAAATAAGAGCACATTTAAATAAATATTAATATTTTTTCTTGAACATTAAGTTACCAGACACTGAATAACTGCACAAATTAATAAGCGTAACGCAAATAAACCTGTTTTTCTTGTTCTCCGAAAGCAAAATATTTCCTGCTGCACACACCAAACAAGTCAGTCCCAAACTAATGACGTGGCAATCAGCTGCTAAAATATTTGCGGCTGGTATTAGTGGAGAGAAATGGTGCACCTGCGCGTAAGGCACATAGGGAAATGAATGCAATATGATTATAGTGTAGTAATCAGTCACTAGCGAACGTTGTGGTTCGTTATTAATAATTATGTATAACAGGATATTGTCAAAATTAAGCTATAAAATTTTTATCAAAACGTTTTTTACAGCCAAAATTGGTTTGGCTCAGTGGATAGAGCGTCGGCCTGTGGACTGAAAGGTCCCAGGTTCAATTGTGGTCAAGGGCATGTACCTTGGTTGCGGGCACATCCCCAGTGGGGGGTGTCCAGGAGGCAGCTGATCGATGTTTCTCTCTCATCGATGTTTCTAATTCTCTATTCCTCTCCCTTCCTCTGTAAAAAATCAATAAAATATATTTTTTTAAAAAAAACGTTTTTTACATACCATTATATTGGCTAGGCTGCAAAAATATTCATTGTGGGCCGAATGCAGCCTGTAGGCCGCGAGTTTGACATGCTTGCACTAAAGGCTCCCATTGTTTCCACCATACCATTGTTCTCACCAGACTTAGTTCATTTTCAGCTGAAGAATCACTTCTTCTATTTGGCCACCTTGAAGTCAGTCTTCTAATTTTCTGACATCTGGTTTTGCTTTAACCATATCCAGCTTCTCATTTGTAATCTCTACTTCCTATATGCTGCACTTTTAGACTTGCTCAAGAACATCAAGAATCTTTGTGTACAATACTCTTAGCCTCTCATGTGGGCTCTCACATACAGCCCATCCCGGAAATCCGGTGGCCTTCTTCAGCAAGCCCGCCATGACAGCACTGATGAGCCGAGTACCAGTGTTTTTAGTCTAAGTGTGTCCTCTTGCCCTCGTTGCTTCTCCACTTGTTATCAGTAAGCGCTCAGAGGGGCCCCTTAGCAGCTGTGGTACTGACTGCTTATCAACAACAGCAGAGCTGTTATACTCATGGTTACCATTTATGACAGTGAAAATATACATATTAAATTCAGCAGTAAAAAGAAGGCACACAGGGCAGCAGCCAGGAGACACCAATTACCTCCTCCCAGTAGAGTCCGATAGACAATTCTTAATTCTCCCAGCAATGATGTGTGACAATGTGCAAGGACTATTGGTACCCGGGGCTTTCCGTGGAGGTCGGTCAGGTAGACAGGCCTCACCAACCAGGTGGCTGACCTCAGTCTCCAGCCTCTCCTGAGGTCAAGCTGACGATACCTCCCGGCCCAAGGCCCCCAGGTGAACGCTCTTACCAGGCAGGGTATTCCAAAGGATTAGAGATTACGTTCCAGGCGCCAATCCAATCCAAGGGCCCTTTCTTTCTTTCTCTGGACTCTGCAGTTAAGCCTTCACCGCACACCCTTAACTTTGGGAGTGGGATTCTCGAAGGCAGAGAAAGAGGACAGGAAACCAACGTATTTTAACCTTTATGCCTTTACTGGCCTGATGGTCAGCGAGTTTCCGGAATCTAAACCATAGAGCCAGAAGGCAGGGTGCAGGGTCGAGGAGGCAGAGACTGGGCACTCGCCCAGGAGTGTCTCCTGATTAGCCACTGAGTAGAAGGCAAGCTTCCCCCGCTCCAGGTCCAGCCAGATGCCCACCACCCTCGGTTTTTCTGCGCTGAGGACAGTTTCCTTGACCATGTGCCACATGGAGAGCTGGCTGGTCCCCTTCCACTCCACGCACCAGGAGTCCGTGGTCCTCCCCAGGATCTGGTCTCGGCTCATCCCCCAGGAAGCCACGCCGACCGCCCAGTGGCTGCACTGCTGAGTGTCCACTTCCCAGTAGTGCTGCCCAGACGAGAAGGCTTGGGAGCATAAGACCTGGCAGGTCGTAAACCTGTCGTGACTCCAGGCATAATGCTGTTCGATGTGACATACAGTCACCTTCCTGCGATCCTCCGACACCTCCAGGTTACAGGGCAGGGTCCCCGGGTCAAAGGTTGGACTGATAGCCCCTGAAGAAGAAGAAGAAAGAAAAAAAAAAGAAAGAACATAACCAGCCAGCATGGACTGCCCATGCTCAGAGGTCCTCAAAGAGCAAACAGCAGCTTTGTATCCTTGGATGTGATAAAGTCTTACTCAGACTGGCATTAATGTAGGTGTGTCAGACACTTGCTGCTCTTTGTACTACCGTGTTTCCCTGAAAATAAGACCTAGCGCATGGAAAGATAAGACATCCCCTGAAAATAAGACCTAGCGCAAATTTGGGAGAAAAAAATTAATATAAGACACTGTCTTATTTTCGGGGACACAGGGTAGTACTTACCCCTGATGCTTGTTAACAATACCCCTTTCCCTGCTTAACCTCTGCTTACCATGAACCTGCTTCCGGGAAGCCCTCCCTGAATCCCACCCAGCCAAAAGGCACCTCTTGCTTTGCCCCGTAGCCGCCATGTTTTAGCTGTTCTCTAATGTACCATCTTCTATCTGCAGCACGTGACATGACCATGGCTGCCCATCTCTCTCTAGTTATACATAAGTTTCCTTATTTAGGATCATGTACTTGCCGAAACCGGTTTGGCTCAGTGGTAGAGGATCGGTCTGTGCGGACTGAAAGGTCCCGGGTTCGATTCCGTTCAAGGGCATGTACCTTGGTTGCGGGCACATCCCCAGTAGGGGGTGTGCAAGAGGCAGCTGATCGATGATTCTCTCTCATTGATGTTTCTAACTCTCTATCCTTCTCTCTTCCTCTCTGTAAAAAATAAAATATATATATATATATTTTTTTTTTTAAAGGATCATGCATTCATGTTGTATGTTTTACACTGTGTCCTACTGAGTAAACAGATGTGAACATGTACATAGCATTTCTACTCTAGGCACACATTTAAACACATTCACTCATCTAACCCTAAGGACAATCCCTGGAAGAAAGGACTATTATTATCTCCATCTTACAGGTGAGGGATCCGGGGTTCAGGGAGGTTACCTAACTTGTCCAAGATCACAGAGCTAGTGAGCAGGAGCGAGGCGTCAAACCCAAGCAGCCCGGGTCCAGGATCCATGCTCTCCATGACTACGCCAGCCTGGGACAGCAGCAGTAACTCATCGGATGGGGGAATGGGCAGTTCGCTGCCTATGGTTGACCCCGCATGGATGCCCACAGATTGCCTGGGCTCCGAATGATCATGGGTCTGGTTTAGCCTGGAATTTGGGAGCTTTTCATTCCCTTTGTCTTTGTAATCAGCTCCCCAGGGGAAGGGCTTGTGGGAGGTGGGAGGCCTAGCAGCAAGGAGATGGACACAGCACCCTCTCCCAGCTGCCCTCTGCAGCCGGCCGAAAGCAAGTTCCAAGCAGACCACATACTTACATTGAACAAACCTGGATGCAAGGAGACTCTGGTCAGTCCGTGGGCATGCGGAGGAAGGCAGACCTTCCCGGGCTTTAACTAAGGAATCAGAGAATTGGGAGGGGGAAAAGTCTCGTTTAAAAAGGGCAAGAAGAAGGTATCTAAGCAACATGATCAGAGCGATGGCTTATCTTCCTCGGCAGCAGCAGCAGCAGCAGCAGCAGCACATTTAGCGTCAGGGTTTGGCCAGGCAGTGCAGCCAGCTCAGGTATGTCCAGCCCCAGGTTCTCACTAGGCCTTTTCCTACCATTTTCTCCCTGAACTCTAAACTCGTTGCTTGCTCCTTGTTCATCTCTATGTTCTAAGAACCAAACCTCATGTCAGGTAGATAGGAAGTGCTCGATGCATATTTAGCAAGTAAATTAAAGAATACAGTTCCAGGCAATAACAATGCCCTGACATCCAGAATATCCACGAACCCCATTATCAATGCTTTATTTTTATCTTATTTTTTAATATTTTTATTGATTTCAGAGAGGAACAGAGAGGGAGAGACAGAAACATCAGTGATGAGAGAGAATCATTGATTGGCTGCCGCCTGCACGCCCTACACTGGGGATCAAGCTTGCAACCTGGACATGTGCCCTGACTGGGAATCAAACCATGACCTCCTGGTTTATAGTCTGATGCTCAACCACTGAGCCACACTGGCCGGGCTCAATGCTTTAAACTGTTACAAAAACTGGGAAACGTGAGTTGGTGTGAGATTCATTTCAACTCACTGACACTTCCTACTTCCCTCTCGAATGAACTAAAGTTTAATTGTTAACTTAAAGTTACTGTGTGCTTCCAATGCCCACAGAGTAGGTAGAAGAAGAGAAAGTAATGTCACAGTGCAGACTATGAAGGCAAAATCTTCCCCCATTTGTATCCCACCCAAGTATATTTTTTCCATTGATTATTAGAGAGAGTGAAGGGAGGGGGAGAGACAGAGAGAGAAACATTGATTGGTTGCCTCCAGCACACACCCCTACCAGGGCCGGGGATCAAGCCTGCCACCAAGGTATGTGCCCTTGACCAAAATCAAATATGGGGCCCTTCGGTCTGCAGGCTGACACTCTATTCACTGATCCAAGCTGGCTAGGGCCAGCCTTTTTCTTTCTTTAAATGTACCCAGGATCCCTTGGGAATATAAAATAATAATATGGCACTATTCTGTTTCAGTAAAATTGTTCTGCATAAAATGTGATGTCCACAGCAGCATGTGGAGTGCTGACAGAGGACCAAAGGGAATCATTGTGAGGAGCCAGTCAAATTGCTTGACAACTGTTAAAGCATTGACTTGAAGAACACTATCTATTGTCTTTAAAACAATCCTGTGACATCCTGGCTGTTTTGGCTCAGTGGATAGTGCATCAGCTTGTGGACTCAAGGGTCCCAAGTTCAATTCCTGATCAAGGACACATGCCTGAGTTTTGGGCTTGGTCCCCAGTAAGGGACATGCAGGAAGCAGCCGATCTGATTCTCATCATCAATGTCTGTCTCTCTCTCTCTCTCTCTCTCTCTCTCTCTCTCTCTCTCTCTCCCCGCCTCCCTTTCTCCTTTTGAAATAAATTTAAAAATAATAATAATTATATATATATATAGATAGATAGATAGATAGATAGATATATACACACACACACACATTTTGTTTTTAATCCTGTGATTACTTCAGGAAATGATGTTTTAGGATATGGAGATATATCAGATCCTTTGCTTTAAAAATGTTCTGGACTGGTCCAAATAATCAAAAACAACATAATCACAAAGAAATAACTATATCATACTTGCTAAGGCATACTTAAATGTTATAAGTTGAATTTTTAAAGAATACTATAAGATATATACTTAATTCCTCAAAAATTTAAAACAGCATTACCGTATGATCCAGCAATTCCACTTCTGGGCACATAGTCAAAAGAACTGAAAGCAGGATCTTGAAGAGATATTTACACACCCTTATTCAGAGCTGTATTATTCACAATAGCCAAGAAGTGGGAGCAACCAGTGTCCATTGTTAGTTAAATGGGTCAATAAAATGTGCTATATTCATATAATTGAATATCATTCAGCCTTAAGAAGGAAGAAAATTCTGACACATGCTACAACACAGATGACTCTTGGAAACATTATATTAAGTGAAACAAGCCAGTCACAAAAAACATTAGCTGTGTGATTCCACTTATATCTGGTACCTAGTGGAATGTAGGGTGGGGAGTTACTTTTAAACAATATAGAGTATCATTGTTGCAAAATTAAGAAGATCTGGGGCTTTGTTGAACAACAAAGTCAATGTACTTAACATTAGTGAACTGTATGCTTGAAAGCGGTGAAGATGGTGGATTTATGGAAATGAACCTGCCACCTCAGCCTGTGCCCCGATCGGGAACTGAACCAGCAAAACCTGGTCCAGTTTGATGTACAAGCCTTAGAAAATGAGTTTCTTCTCATCAAGGCCTGTGTTACATTATAACTCCAGTCGCTTCCAAAAACACAGCCAGTCACAAAATGCCTCAGCCCGTTCTCTCCTCACATACACCGCAGTGACAATGCAGTGGGGCCCTGGGGTCATACCCCCAGACAACAAAGCCGTGGAGCGCTCCGCCGCTTCCTCCCAATTTCCGTAGTTAATCCTCCTCCCCAAGGAGAATCGACTCACCCTGCCTCTGTTCTTCACGCAGCTCTTTCCCCGGGAAGCTTTCTTGCAATGTGAAGCTTTCTTGCAATTTCCCCCGGATGTCTTCGAGGTCATGCAGAATGTCTCTCATTTTTTCCTCAGCTCTGTTGGAAGTTGCTAGCTTTGGAGATGTCAAGGAATGGTCCACCCCACCAGAAAAAGCCTGTTGAGAAGCATGAATAAAAAAGAAAAAAAAGTCTCCCAGGAATGCATCAAATAGTATACTCCAGTTTTGCAACCCGTCTATTTTTCCACTTACCTCCTAAGGAGTTTTTTTTTTAATATAATTAGGCCCTCAAAATACACACCTTGAAAATAATCTGGAGTAATACATAAAACAGCAAAAAATATTAAAGAGTGGTGGGGTGATGGATGATTCTCACTTATTTTCTTTAAACTGCTATGTGTTTTTTAGTCTTTTTGTACAATAAATAATAATCTTTTTTAATATATTTTTATTGATTTTTTTATAGAGAGGAAGAGAGAGGGAATAGAGAGTTAGAAACATCCATGAGTTTCATTGATCAGCTGCCTCTTACACACCCCCCACCGGGGATGTGCCTACAACCAAGGCACATGCCCTTGAATGGAATCGAACCTGGGGCCTTTCAGTCCGCAGGCCAACACTCTATCCACTGAGCCAAGCCAGTTTCGGCTAAATATCAATTTCTTAAGTAATACTAAAACAAGTCAAAAGTTGTTAGGCCCATATGATTTACAAAATAAATAATGCAGACAGTCACTGAGATATGCCACACAAGCTAGAATAATCTCCCCCAGACTGCTATCATATCATATATCTTCTCACCCAGGCCCAGCTCTCTGGGGCCTGCAACCCATGCTCATGGATTTTCTTTAACTTCAGGTCCTATGAGTCCCCAACACAGACTCCCACCCGCTACTTCCCACCTACAGCACCAGACTTTCCTTCCCCGCCTTGCATAAGCCATCGCCCACCTTTTTCACCAATCATAACAGTAGCAGGCACCACTTACTGAGTGCCTTCCACTTGCTCACCTCTAATTTGCATAACAACCTTCCAAGGTAGGTTTATTATCCCCACTTTGCAAAAGAAGGAGCTAATGTTCAGGAAGGTTAGCTAAAGTTTGCCATAGTTCATTGTCTTGCCCTACATTTCCTCATTGCTAAAGCACTTTTTTTTTTTACACGATCCCTTTTAATCCCATCCAAATAATGAGACTGCCGGCCTCATTATTCCTATTTTACAGATAGAAACCTGAGATTCAGGAAGATGAAATAACTAGCCCAAGCTCATAATACTAATGTTACATCCCTAAAGTCCCACGTAGTCACTCATTCAGTGGGAAGTGTCTAGCAGTGGGAAGTGCCAGGCCTGGGGATACAGGTTGAACAAAAGAACAAAAGCCTTCAAGGTCCCCACCCTCATGACTCTTAGTGTCCAGTGCCAGAGAAGAGGGAGGACAGACATGAATAAATTGTGGCTGTGCTAGATGCACATGCAAGTTATATGGGATCATGAGAGAGAGCCTCTAATGGGGGAAGGGGAGACCTGTTCAAGGAAAGCAGTGAAGGATTTTCCAAGAAAGTGATGATCTCCTTGGGGTCTGAAGGATAAGCAGGCATTCCCTAGGTGACAGGGCGAAAGAACGCACCCTGTGGTGGGGAAAAGTATGACAACACCCTAGTACAGTGGTCGGCAAACTCATTAGTCAACAGAGCCCAATGTCAATAGTACAATGATTGGCCGAGACCAGTTTGGATAGAGCGTCGGCTTGGGGACTGAAGGGTCCCGGGTTCGATTCCAGTCAAGGGCATGTACCTTGGTTGCGGGCATATCCCCAGTAGGGGGTGTGCAAGAGGCAGCTGATTGGTGACTCTCTCTCATCGATGTTTCTAACTCTCTATCTCTCTCCCTTCTTCTCTGTACAAAAATCAATAAAATATATTTTTTTAAAAATAGTACAATGATTGAATTTTCTTTTGAGAGCCAAATTTTTTAAACTTCAACTTCTTCTAACACCACTTCTTCAAAATAGACTCGCCCAGGCCATGGTATTTTGTGGAAGAGCCGCACTCAAGGGGCCAAAGAGCCACATGTGGCTGGTGAGCCGCAGTTTGCCAACCACGGGCCTAGAGGGAGAGATGTGGGCCAGCGGCTGGGACCTGACGTGCCAGGAAGAGCTGGGTGAAATGAGATGGGAGAGGCAGGCAGGGACAGAATCCTGCAGGCTCTTGTTGGTTCTGTGAGGATGAATCCTGCACAGCAGACGCCATTGGAGTGTTTTAAGCGTTTGTTGGAGTTACACGATCAGATTTGCATTTGAGAGGTCACTCTGATGACCCCGAGGACGGCAGACTAGAGCAGGTAGAATGGAGCAATTAGGAGGCTACTGTAGCAATCCAGGCAAGATGTGATTATCAGCTTGGATTAATTAGAGAAATCTCAAGGAAGCTCTGGAGTAGTAAATAGAGCCCGGCCAGCATGGCTCAGTGGTTGAACATTGACCAGGAGATCACAGTTCAATTCCCAATGAGGGCACATGCCCAGGTTGTGGGCTCCATCTCCAGTGTAGGGTGTGCAGGAGGCAGCCGATCAATGATTGCCTCTCATCATTGATGTTTCTGTCTCTCCCTCTCCTTTCCTCTCTGAAATACATAAAAATATATTTGAAAAACTAAAAAAGAAAAGAGTAGTAAACAGATTCGAGAGATGTTCTGGCAGGTGAGGGAGGAGGTGACATGATTCTCAGGTGTCTGGCTTGTGCCCTTGGAAGAATAACAGTGCCAGTCAGCTGGGGAGTCCCCTCTGAGGAACAGTGTGGGGCATGTTAAGATGAGACAATGAGAAAAAGATACCAGCCTAGAGCTCAGAGAAGTGGCCAGGCCGGAGCTATGTTTATGCTCATTAAAGCCAAGGATGTGGGGAAGAGAAAGGGACGCCCAGATGAGCCCTGCGGAATCTCAACATTTCATTGCTAAGCTGAGGAGAGTGAGCCTGAAACACAGGCTTGAAAGGAGCAGCCAGAGAGAAACGGGAAGGCTCGTGGGCAGAAGCTGAGGGAAAGAAAAGCTTCAAGGACCAAGGTGTGGTCACCTGTGCCAATGGCTACTGAATGGCGTGGCTCAGTGTGTGAGCATCAACCTAGGTACCTGGAGATCACAGTTCGATTCCCAGTCAAGGCACATGCTGCTGTTGCAGGAGCAATCCTCAGTGTGGGGCATGCAAGAGGCAGCTAATCAATGATTCTCTCTCATCACTGATGTTTCTATCTCTCTCTCTCTCTCCCTTTCTCTCTGAAATCAACAAAAATATAGTTATTTAGCCCTAACCGGTTTGGCTCAGTGGATAGAGCGTCGGCCTGCAGACTCAAGGGTCTCAGGTTCAATTCCGGTGAAGGGCATGTACCTTGGTTGTGGGCACATCCCCAGTGGGGAGTGTGCAGGAGGCAGCTGATCAATGTTTCTAACTCTCTATCCCTCTCCTTTCCTCTCTGTAAGAAAAATCAATTATATATATATATATATATATATATATATATATATATATATATATATATATAAAATTAGTTGGGTTTTTTTTAAGATGAGGATTAAATGTCTGCAGGATTTACATAGAGGCCACTGGTGATCTTAGAGCTGGTTAGGTGGAGTGAAAAGGATGGAACCTAGGCCTCTTGAAGCTTCCCTATCACACCTCCAGGCCTCCCTGTTTGGCAGAAACTTCCTGCATCCTTCAACTGAAAACACATTCACTCTGCCCCAGTTGGGAGCTGCCCCTGCCTCCTGCCACACCCTTTCCTCCCCGCCCTGAGCCTACCTACCATGCCCAGGACGTTCAGCTTGTTCTGCGGCCCAGATTCTGGGAGATGCCTCTGCTTCTGAAGGCTCCTGACGATGTCTACAAGCCGCTCCACCAGCTCTGCCAGCTCCCGACCAGCCTCTGGGATGCTCTTCGGGGCCGCCGCCTTTAAAAGAGCAAAGCAGAACAACAAAAAGACATAAAATACATACCTACCAACAAGTGAATCTAAAAATCAAGTGAATAAAAAATCTGAAGAACAAAATGGACTGGTGAATACAATAGATTCGGGGACACAGAAAGGGATTGGACTAACAATTCTCAGGGAACAGGGGGTCTGAAGGGTACGGAAAGAGATTGGACAAAAATCTTACAGCTATGGATGAAGACAGTGGCTGGGGTAAGGGCATGGGGTGGGGTTGGGAATCAGGTGGAGGGGAGCTAGTGGGGGAGGGGGGAGAGGAACACCTGTAATAATCTGAACAATAAAGACTTATTATAAAAAATAAATAAATAAATAAATAAATAAATAAATAGATAGATTTTTTTAAAAAAAGAGCAAAGCAGAACCCAAAGCTGGACTCAGGAATCAGCTCTAAATGTGAAGTCTGGACAAAGGGACAGGCAAGGAAGTGGCGAAAACATTCAGAGAACGAGAAGGGAGCCTCCCACACCTTTTGCTGTCCTTTTCCCTTACAGATCGTCCCGTGGCCATTATAGGAGAGTGGAGTCCATCCGTGGGAGGGAGGGGGAGGGGGCATGGGAGTAAAGTGTGAAGGGAGGCCCAGGGGTCATTATGAGCCGGGAAAGTCAGAGAAGACATGGGTGTGAGCCTCGCAGGGTCGGTGGCAGCTGATAAAGTCAGTGGCGCAGGGGAAGGCAAGTGGCTCGGGCTTAAGCTCCTCTCTTGCCTCTGATTCATCCTATGTCCGGTCCAGGCTTTTCAGAAATGAAAGTGACACCCCTCCTTCTCTTCCACGGGGAAAAAGACCTACCTAGCTGTTCACTGTGAAAGCGCCTTGGAGATTGAGTGATGTACAGATGAAAGCTTTTTGTTTGTTGGTTGGCATCTTTAACATCACAAAAAAAAACATTCAGGCCAGCCAGCGCGGCTCAGTGGTTGAGTGTTGGCCTATGAACCGGGAGGTCACGGTTTGATTCCCGGTCAGGACACATACCCGGGTTGCCGGCTGGGTCCTCAGTGTGGGGCGTGACGGAGGCAGCCAATCAATGACTCTCTCTCATCACTGATGTTTCTATTTCCCTCTCCCTCTCCCTTCCTCTCTGAAAGCAATAAAAATATATTTTTTTGAAAACATTCGGAAGAGAGTGCTAAACAACGCCACTTAAAGAGCTTAATGTGCTCAGCTGCCTGGCTGGGCGTGGGAGTAAGCTTTGCAGCCAACATATTTTGGCAACAACCTCAGGACCTGAGGCCAGTCACCAGACCACAATGGAGAACTCCGCATCGCCTCCAATGGAGTCACAGAAACAAGGCATTCATCACTCAACTGTCCATCAGCCAGAGTTTTTTATAACTTTGTTTTGACATTTGTCATATTTTAAATTTTTCGGGAGCTTCAAAAGCGAGGATTGACCCAGGGTCTTTTTCGTCTCTTAAATAGCCCTGAGGTCCCTCAAAAGAGCATGTGTTTTGGCCGTTATAAGCAGGCTACTTTAGAGAGGGAGGTGACTGGCCCTGCTAACACTGTTTGCTCTTAAAGGTCCAGGCCCCATTCCCAAATATTCAAGCAGCAGGAACTCTGTAGGGGAGACCTTATCCAGGCACCTGAGCAAATTAAAGACTTTAAAAGAAATAAGTGCATTGCTTTTTCTATCCATAAGAGAAATACACACTTATTGTGGCCGATTTTAAAAACGCACAGAATGAAAAAGAAGAAATGTTTTCAATCATCTATTATCCTACCATCCAAAGACAATCATTTTAATTTAAAAGCCAATGGAATGGATATTCAATCCCTATAAACTATATTAACCATGAGTTTTAAGAAGCTGTGGGACAATGCTGTATTTATAATCTAAAAATAGAGAACAGGCTTTATTCATAAATGGGGGAAAAATGGAAGCAACCTATATGTCCATCAAAAGGTGAATGGGCCCTAACTGGTTTAGCTCAGTAGATAGAGCGTCAGCCTGCGGACTCAGGGGTCCCAGGTTCGATTCTGGTCAAGGGTGTGTACCTTGGTTGTAGGCACATACCCAGTGGGGAGTGTGCAGGAGGCAGCTGATTAATGTTCCTCTCTCATCGATGTTTCTGGCTCTCTAACCCTCTCCCTTCCTCTCTGTAAAAAAAAATAAATAAATAAATAAATATATGGCAAGAAAGTGGCAAAAATGTACCATATTTCATTGTGGTACATCCATGCAATGAAATATTATTGAGCAATTAAAAAAAGATGAGCTATCAAGCCACAAACCTTAATTTTGCTTTGTGAAAAAAGCCAGATACTGTATGATACTGAAAAGGCTAGATACTGTATGATTCCAACTATCTGACATTCTGGAAAAGGCAAAGAGATGGTAAGAAGGTCAGCAGCTGCCCGAGATTGGCTTGGGGATAAAACAGGAGGAGCACAGGGGGTGTTTCGGGCAGTAGCACTGCATGGCAACCATAACTGTAGACTCATGACCTCGGACATTTATCAAAAGCCAATGAACTGTACAACCCGAAGAACGGACCCTAATGCAAACTGTGGACTTTAGTAATTAACAAAGTATCAATATTGGTTCATCAATTGTGACAAATGTACCACATTAATGCAAATTGTTAATAATTGCAGAAACTGTGAGGGGAACTTCCTGTACTATCTGCTCAATTTTCTGTAAATCTAGAATTGCTCTAAAAAATAATGTCTATTCATTCATTAAAAAAAAAAAAAAAAAAAAAAGACATAACCTGGGTCATACAACAAGACCTCAGCTCTGTTTAAAAGCACCTCAGAGAAAAACAAAAGGGTGGCCTGGGCAGCTCCAGGCTGTCAGAACTCCGGAAAACACTGTTTCTAAAAAGAGCAACCGGGCTTAGCTCAGAGGTTGAGCATTGACCTATGAACCCAGGAAGTCCTGGTCTGATTCCTGGGTTGCTGGCTCTATCCCCACTGGGGGACATGCAGGAGGCAGCCAATCCATGATTCTCTCCCATCATTGATGTTTCTATCTCTCTCTTCTTCTCTGAAATCAATTTTTTAAAAATTTAAAGAGCAGCCTGGCAGTAGAAAAGCATTGTGGTGTTTTTACTAGTTCTTGTCCTTGCCCCTCTCCCCGCTGGCTCGGTAACAATATTCAAGATTCCTAGCACGGGGCCCTGGTCCCATTCTGGAAAAGCAGCACACGCCTGCTTCACAAACTGCCATGTATGTCTGTTCTAACCGGGCTGCCGGCTGCCCCAAGGAACGGCATAGGGCACTCATCTTTGTTTCACCTGACTCGGAGCTCAGGCCAAAAAGGCGGTGAGCATGGCTCACAGATGCTGCAAGCTGAACTACAACTTGCAAACGTCTGGGGCAAAAGATTAGGGTTGAAACACCTACGTGCCAGAAGCAAACGCTGGGGGAACTGGACCCCTCCTACTTTGAAAATAGACACTTACACACCAGCATTCACTACAACATCGCTTACAATAGCCAAAAGGTGGAAACATCCAGATGCTCATAGATGCATGAATGAATTTTTTAAAATGTGGCATATGGCCGAAACCGGTTTGGCTCAGCAGTAGAGCGTTGGTCTGCAGACTGAAAGGTCCCAGGTTCGATTCCGGTCAAGGGCATGTTCGTTTGTTGCGGGCTCATCCCCAGTAGGGGGTGTGCAAGAGGCAGCTGGTGGATGTTTCTCTCTCATCGATGTTTCTAGCTATCTTTCCCTTCCTCTCTGTAAAAAAATCAATAAAGTATATTTTTAATTAATTAATTAATTAATTAAATGTGGCATATGCATACAAGAGAAGAATAAGAGGTATGAAGTCTGGGTCCATGGTACAACATGAACGAACCTTGAAAACATGATTGTAAGTGAAGGAAGCTAGACACACAGACACAGATACTGCAGAATTCCACTTATGTAAAATATCTAGAGTAGGCAAAATCACGGAGACAGTAAGCAGGGTAGAGGGTACCAGAGGCTGGAGCGCGGAGCGAATGACGAGTTAATGCTTGGTGGGCAGAGCTTCTGCTTGTGGTGATGCAAAAGTTCTGGAAATAGAAGTGGTAATGGCTGCACAAACATTGCACAAGTTAACTAAAGCACCTAAGTTACACGCTTAAAAAGGGTTGACCTGGCAAGTTCTGCATAGACAAAAGCATTTCAGAGAGACAGAATGTGGGAAGACTGGAAAGAAAGGGAACTCTAGGCCAAGAAGTATAGCAGCAGCAAGGTTGAAAGGGTTTCAGACTGGAATTTGTTTTTTTCCTCTGCTTCTTCCCATTTCCCTAAAACTTTCCAAAGAGAGGGTTCTTCTTTTCTATGGAGAAAAGCAAAGTGAAAGTAGAAAGGATGAGGGAGGAAGCGCCCGGAGAGGGGACCAGTGGGAAGCCAGGGTCCCGCCACCCTACCCGGGGTTGTGCGGCGGCGGCGGCGGGGCGCGGGGGCCCGGGGGCCGGCCGGGGGGCGGGGGGCGCGGGCCCGGCCGGGGGGGCCTGCAGCTGGCCGGCCGCGTGGCTGTACTTGTCGGCCAGGTCCTGCAGGAGCGTGTTCTTCCGCAGCCGCAGCGGCTGCGCCGCGCCCTCGCGGCAGGTGGGGCAGGACCAGCGGTGGCGCCCGCCCCACAGGCCCTGCAGGCAGCCCCGGCAGAAGCTGTGGCCGCAGGGCAGCGTGACGGGCCAGGCCAGCAGCCCCTGGCAGATGATGCAGCCCAGGTCGTCCTCCGCCAGCCACACGGGCACCGCCAGGCCGTCGTCCACGCTCGCCATGGTCCCCGGCCACTGCCCGGAAGCTGGGCCACCCTGGGGACGCCCGACGTCTCCTCCGGCTCCTCCCTCGCCCCTCCCCTCGCCGGTTCCTCCTCTCCCCTCCTCCCCTCCCGGTGGCGGTCCGCCCCTCGGTCCGGTCCCCGCTCCCGCGGACAGCTGGCTGGGAGCGCGCACCGCTCAGCCTGGCGCCCTGTGTGCAGGGCCGGCTCTCCCCGCAGCTCCTGCGCCGGGAAACCAGCTCGCCCCAAACCGTTAGGAGCCCGCCGATGCCCACCAAAGATTCCCTCCAGCTTGATGCCTTCCCGGTAAAAATGCAACCCCGACAGCTTTGGGGAAAAGAGGATTCGATTCCAGACGCTGAAAAGAATGTGTCCACTAGGGGTCACCCAGCCCCTTAGCAAGCAGTAAGGAATTGGCAGCGCACAAGGTTAGGAAAAACAGTAATACGTTAGTATCTATTAAGTGACATGCTTTAAAAATACCAGTGTAGAATATTATGCTAAGCGATATGAGCCAGTCAGAGAAAGACAAGTGTCGCATGATCTCACTCATATGTGGAATTTAACGAACAAGGTAAATTGATGAACAAAAATAGATCTAGAGACATGGAAGCAGGGAACAGAGTGTAGAATCTCAGGGGGAAGGCGGGGGTGGGAAGAGATCAACCAAAGGACTTGTATGCGTAGATGCATAACCAACCCCTGAACACAGATAATCGGTGCTGAAGGCCTGGGGCTGGGACGGGGACGGGGAGGATAGGCGAGCTGGGGTGGGGGGAGGCTCCGTTGTGGGGAAAGGGGACATATGTAACTCTTTCAATAATAAAGATTTAATTTAAGAAAAATACCAGTGTTTCGGCTCCCCACCGAGAGTCTGATTTCATTGTCTGGGATGGAGCCCCAGCACTGGTATTTTTAACACACACACACACACACACACACACACACACATACACACACGCTAAGCCAAACGTGCAAAGCTGAGCGGCAGCCAGGTGTCGGCAACCTGCGGCTCCGGAGCCGCATGCGGCTCTTTTTGTTAAGTGAAAAAAATCCTTTTTCTGCACGATCCGGTATATAGCATTAAGGTAAGAAACAATATATGCAGTGTTATATTTGTTTTAAATGTCGCAATGGTTTTGCGGCTCCCAGGTGTTTTTTTTTTTCCTTCGAAAACAGGACCAAGTGGCTCTTTATGTCTTAAAGGTTGCCGACCCTGCTAGACCTTAAAAACCGCCACCGGTGGTATCATACAAGGCAGGATTGTGCCGCTGTCTCCTTACTGCCCTCTGCTGGCGGAAAGCACATTACCCAACAGGCATCCTGGCGAAAGTGCTAGTCAGTCTGTTTCCTTGCAGCTTGCTTATCTGGTTCCAGGCAGGGGCTTGCTTTCTTCCTCCTCTCTTACGCCAGTCCTAAGTGCATCACAACCAGAAAACGCTGGAGCTGAAGAGCATTAAATCCTCTCCAAAGACCCAGAGGCAAAGGAACTGCCAGGCTTGAGTGGCAGAGACTTTTCCCCACCTCCTCTGATCTGTTGAAATGAACTAATACTGTCTTATGTTTTACCCCCGTCTTCCATGGTCTCAAAGTAGGTACCAGATAATACAAATGTGTGGCTATGTCCTGCTAGTTGTGAGGGGTTTGTTTGGGGGGAGGGGGTGAAAGAATTCATACTGAGTGTTGAGAGAGAAGCAGAGAGAAAGTTTATTTTACTTTCCCCGAAGGGAAAGAGCCAGTGCATTGCTATTCAATACAAGGCAAGAAACGAAAAGTGGCTCCGCCTTTTAAAGCCTTGGCTACAGTTGCTAGGTAATAAGGAAAGAGGATTTGGGAGCTGAAATTGAGCAGATATGGGGGCCGGAGGGGGGTTGTCTCTGAGAAGTTTGCTTTTTTTAGGAGATTATCTAGGCAGCTGTTCTAAAGAGGGGTATTATCAATATTTTTCCCAAGCCTGTAAAAACATGTGTAAAAGTTATGAAGAGTTCAGAAGAGGCTTGTTTGAAGAGGGTGGGGGAGGGGGAACTTTCTACTAACAAGAGAATTCTTGATGCAAATTATCCCTTAGTTGTAAAAACAGCAGGGAGGAAGAGTATGCAAAAATGTAGCCTTGATAGTGACTTGTCTTGAACAGAGGGGCTGTTCCGAGTCAGAGGAGCTAACAATCTTGGGATTTAAGAAGTAGGTGCTTCTCACAAGCTGTAGAAGGCTACAGCAAAGAAAAAAGGCAGGCCTGTTTTTCTGTCCTTGCATTTCCAATACTTGAAATTGCCGTTAGTAGTCAATAAAACGTATCTTTTAGTGCTGTTCATCAAAGCTTCCAACTCTTTCCCTTTCTAGGCACCTGGTAGGATTGCACTTCCACGGCCCTCTTGAAACACACAGAAATACTACTTAACTTCCCATCAGCTTAAAAAGCTAGTATCATTGTATCTCTTTCTGCCAGCTGCCCTGACTATGGAGATGAAGCCGGTGTGTGGGGGCCTGAGCCTCTAAGTGGCTAAGAAGAGAAGACACCCTGCCAACCCACGGTAGGGCGTGTAGTAAAGGAAAGAAATAAACTCGGGATATGTTAACTGAGATTTAGGGGGTGCTTGTTGCTGCAGCAGAACCTAGACTGAAAGGGCAGGGCGGGGGCGAGGATGAGCTCCCAACTCCGCCCCACAAGGCGGAGTTATCCCTAGCCCTCACCCAACCAATCAGGGTTAGCCGAGGCAGTCACCACCAACCAGAGTAAAACCCCTGGACTGGGCGAAATTCGCTCTCTTCCGCCATGCTGCCAGCGTGAGTGGGAGGAGCCCATGCTAGCATGGAGAAGGCTCTTTTGTTTATTATTGCATTGGACTCGGCTCCCTGGTGGTCCTTGGGGATCACGAAGTCTGGGCGTAACAGCCTACCCGGACAGATGAATAGTGGACCTTTGAGTAACCATAAACTCTGTCTTCTATTTTTCCATCAGTGAGACTGCAGGTTTCCATCAGCGTTTCAGTGACCCTCTGAGGCACTCACAGGGGCCTGCCCTGAAGTGAACATCTAAACCACATGTGTCAAACACAAGGCCCTCGGGCCAAATCCGTCCTGCCAGGCCTTGCAATGTGGCCCACACCGCGCTGTCATCACTGCACTCCGCTGCGTTTCCATCACAATGACAGTTTATGACTGTTCAGTAAACCATTCGGCCGGCGATTTAGGCTGGATTTTAGATTTTGGCCCCTTCTCTGATTGAGTTCGACACCCCTACACAATGAAAAACTCACCCTTGCTTTCTAGTGGCCACTTCTCTCGGTCTCGTCCTGCTTCGGGTGATTTTCCAGGGCCTTCTGATAATTGTTTTGTCATAGCCTGTACAGAGTTTCTAATTGTCACCTGTGGAATGGTTGTTCTGAATTAGCTACACCACCACTGGGCAACAGACCCTCCTCCGGTCTAACCTGTTCTCACTCCTTGCCTTCCCCACGACCGGTGCTCCAGCCATATTTGACCATTTGAAGATTCCAGAACAAGCCATGTTCTCTCTTAATCTGTGGGCCTTTGTACACACACTTCTTTTTCCTCCTTCCCCCACCCTCACCCAAGTATCTTCTCTTCATTCTTTAGGACTCAGCATAAATATAACTCTTTATTAGGCAGAACTGGCTCAAATAAAAGAAACTTCCTTGTTCTAACAAGTCAAAAGGGAGAAGAGGAATTCATGTAAGCATACAGAGGAATCGTCGGGGAATCCAATGACCGAGATCCAGCCAGGCCTTAGAAACCAACTAAAACCAGGCACTCCATTTCACTGGGACTTGATCTCCATCCCTGGGTCTGTTCTCTGCCCTTCTGAGGGGCTTCTAAGAATCCACATTTCTCTCAAGTAGCTTGTTACTGTTTCTCTTTTCTTCCCTCCTGGACCATAGGTTCCTTGAAAGCAGAACTGTGCCTTTATTTTTCCATCCTCAATACAACCAACAGAGCTTACAGGAGCCCGGAGCGGGGGGGAGGGGCAGACAAGTAACTTGACCCTTAATATACAACCCAGCAGGTATTGAAACAGGCATTTTCAAGGTGTTTTAGGAGCCAGAGGAGGAAGCAGCCCCATTTCTGTTGGGCAGTCAGGAAGACGCAGAAATGACCCCTGGCTGCTGCTGCTGCTTGTCCTCTGATTGGGATGGGGGGGAGTCTCCCAAAGGAAAATACCACAAAAAAGCAGAGAATCTCTTTAAGAGCTTCCCAACCCTCTAGCTCTCCAGCGAAATGAAGAGGGAACACCCTGTGTCTTTCTACACATCCCTGGAAGGGACAAGTCATAAAGCAGAGACCCTAGTGGCCGACTCCTGACTCATTCCAGCCATTCCAGCTTTACTCCAGTTCCCTCTCCCATCTTCAGGGCATGGAACAGCTTCTTGCCTCAGCCTAGCGGGTTTTCCTCATCCTCGTCCTTTTGACTCACCTCTCAAGAGCTTTAAGGTTTCAACTTCCACCTCACTTTTTGGGAGGAGGCGGCTCCCCACTCCCCCTCCGTTAGGGTAAACCAGCCCTATTGCCATGTGCTCCCAGAGCAGCCTGTCCTTCCTCCTTCTGGGCTGCCCTGTGGGAAGGTGGCCTCCAGCAGCCTGCCATTGGTGACAGCAGGGACCACTTCCTCTTGTTCCTGCCTGTGCCCAGGGCTTGGCACAGAACCTGGCACCTTGGAGGTGCTCAGAAATATTTGCTGCTTCGATAAGAGATCAACTGAAGGACTTGTATGCATGCATATAAGCATAACCAATGGATGCAAAGCTCTGGGGAGGGAGTACATGTATGGTAAGATATGTACACATATTCGATATAAAACCTTAATTAAAAATTAAAAAAAAAAGGAAAGAAATACTTGCTGCTTCCATTGAATTTCCATAGCTAGTACCGTTTCCTCACTTGAATGGGGAAAACGGAGGCACGGAGGTGGGGGAGGGAGACCTGACACGTGGGTTGCTAGCGTTCTGCCCTGGGCTCCTGGTGGTGCTGTCTGCCTGGCTGCCGTCTTTCTTTCCAGGGCTGTGATGAGCAATGCGGTCATCGTTTCTTTGTGTTACCTAGGTTTCCATGTCTTCTAAAATGTGCACAAAGATGGGACATTGCTGATTCATGAAAACGCTATTCGTAGCAGTGAAAAGTAGGGTGTTTTTTTTGTTTTGTTTTTTTTTTTTAATGTTTTAAAACAGCCACTTCTTTGTGCATCGTCCCATATTCCAAAAGGCTGCGGGTTGATTAGACTCCCAGTCAGGGCACACGCCCGGGGTTCCTGCTGGGTCCCCAGGAGGGGACGTGTAGGAAGCAGCCAATTGATCTTCCTCTCTCTGGTCAGGGGCATGTACCTTCCTCTCCTTTCCTCTCTTCTCTAAAGTTGATAAAAACATTTTTTTCCCAATTTTCCCCCTAAGCTTTTCATTTGAACATGATTTTATTGATTTTAGAGAGAGAAAGGAAGGGGATAGGCAGATAAAAACACTGATGAGAGAGAAACATGGGAATCTGGTGACCTCTTGATTCATGGCTCACTGAGGCACCCTGGCTGGGCAGAACACTCAAATCCATAGAAAGTTTGCATGAAGAGGGCAATACAAACCTATCTCTACCTCATCTACATCAGCAATTTTCAACCCATGTGCTGCAAAAAAAAAAAAAAATTTAAAATATGCAATACCTGACTATTTGGTCAGGGGCACTGACCTCTTTTCTTTTAGACAGTCAAACAAAAAAAATTAAAAAATGACAACTCCCAACACAGTAATAGTCGTCTGATGTGAATGAATCAAAATTATACCTTGTTTTGGTCAGATCAGTAAAAAAGTACAATATGTGGGGTTTTTTTAATTAAAATTTTTTGAGAGAGAGGGAGAAAGGGAGAGAGAGAGAAACATTGATGTGAGAATGAAACATCAATCCAATACCTTCTGCACTCACCCTACTGGGGATCAAGCCCACAACCCAGGCTCGTGTCCTGACTGGGAATTGAACTGGAAACTTCTTGGTGCTCACGATGACGTCTAACCAACTGAGCCACACCAGTTGGGACACAAAGAATAATACATGTTTTGATGTGTCACAGAATTTTAGTAATTAGTGTATGTGTGCAGAAAGATGAAAAAGGTTGAAAAATGCTGATTTAGATTCATCAGTTGCTAACATTTTACACAGCAGCTCTGTCTCTCTCCCCTGATATATTATAGATATATGTATATATGTGTATGTGTGTGTATAATGCTCCATCTTATTCCATATGTATAGTACATATATATATGTGTATATATGTATATATTCTACATATACTTGTACACATGGTTATTTTTTACTGAGTCAGTTGTAGACTGAAAATTGTTATATTTTACTCCTGGCCACTTCAATGCATATCCCCTAAGGACAATAGCATTCTCCTACATAAATACAACATCATTATCACAGTCTCATAATACTGTTGGCTAATACACATTCATATTCAAATTTATGTCCTTTATGCTGTTTTTATTTTTAAATCCAGGATCCAATCAAGAATCACACATTGCCTGGCGTTGCTCTCTAGTCACCTGTAAGTAGAACAGTTTGCACACTTCTTTATCTGCCACGATGTTGACATTGAGGAGTCCAGGCCAGCTGTTTTACAGAATAGATTTGTCTATTTCCTCATGGTTGAGCAGATTAAACTGTTTTGGGGCAAGCATGCCACTTGGGAGATGCTGTGGGTGCCCTCCCATGGCAGTGCCTTCACTGGAGATGTCCTGGGCCTTAAGACAGGACAGTGGTGAGGCCCAGGGAGCTGGTGGGTAAAGGCCAAAGCTGTAGTCTTGGCAGAGTTTACGGCCAGTGATGGCTGCCAACTACAGGGCACTCCTGCTGGGTAACCAAGGCCGAGCCGAGAACGTCTCCTTCCACCAAGAGCTCCCATGGCCTGTGGCCAGCCAGTTCCTTGGCCAGCGGGTCACCTGCTGCTGGGGCCACTCTCTGTTGATGCAGCTGCAAGAGGGGAAAAAGAGGAATGAGGGGGTGGCAGTGCCCATGCTGTCCTCCAGGCTGGAAGGAACAGCGCAGGGCAGGGGGAACCAGAATTAAAAAAAAAAAAAAAAAAAAAAAAAAAAGGGCAGGAGCCCTAGCCAATTTGGCTCAGGATAGAGCATCGACCTGTGGACTGAAGGGTCCCAGATTCAATTCCGGACAAGGGCACATGCCCAGGTTTTGGGCTCAATCCCCAGTGCGGGGCGTGCAGGAGGCAGCTGATCAATGGTTCTCTCTCATCAGTGATATTTCTCTTTCCCTCTCTTCCTCTCTGAAATCAATAAAAAATAAAAAATAAAAAAGATGAGAGACAGAGCGGACAGGCACCCCAGAAAAGAAGAGAAAACAGAGAGCGAGAAACACAAAAACAGAGAGAGACAGACACAGGCCACCGGGACAAGAAAGCACCGCTGAGGTGCTTCCCGGGTCACCTGGGAGTCTGGCTCAGAGCTCTTTGGCTCAGAGCGTCTGGAAAGTGAAGTGAGTTTGTGTTCACACGGGTCAGACTCAAAGGGCACAAGGGTTTCTCCCAAAGGGCCATATGGGATCCCTTTCTCAGTCTGTACTTTTCCAAACACAGAACTTCTCCCTGGGCCCAGAAGCCAGGCCCTGGGCCAGAAGTTCCTGCTCTAGCTCAGAACATCTCCCCTCTATTCACAGGGCTGCTGGCAGACAGGAAGCCTACATGTAACCCCTCTGGGGGAAGGGGGCAGCAGGAGAAGGTGGACAGAAGGGAGGGCCCAGAGGAAAGGACACTAAAAACAGCCTTCCCTCTGCCAGTGGGGAGGAATCCCAAATCCTGGGAGCTGGGCCCTGGCCAGGTGGCTCAGTTGGTTAGTACGTCATCCCAATAGGCCAAGGTTGCGGGTTCAATCCCCTGTCAGGGCACATAAAAGAATTAACCTATGGCCTAACCAGTCTGGCTCAGTGGATAGAGCATTGGCCTGGAGACTGAAGGGTCCTGAGTTCACTTCCGGTCAGGGGCATGTACCATGGTTGTAGGCACTCCACAATGGGAGGTGTACAGGAAGCAGCTGATCTATGTTTCTGGCTCTCTCTCCCTCTCCCTTCCTCTCTGTAAAAAATAAATAAATTATATATATATATATATATATATATATATATATATATATATATATATATTTTATATATATATATTTTAAAAAGAATCAACCTCTGAATGCATGAATATGTGGAACAACAAATGGATGTTCCTCTCTCTCTCTCTCTCTTAATCTCTCTCTCTTCCCCCTCCCCAATAAATAAAAATAAAATAAAAAGATAACCCTGGGAGCTGCCCCAGGGTGTGACCTTCGCTGATAATAACAGGCCAGGCTTCTCTCACAAGGAAAGGGACTCAGGGAAGGGAGCTGGTGGAAGAGAGAGGCCGCTGGGCCCCAGCACTCAGCACAGGTGAGAAGGGGATCTAACCAGGTTCTGCCAGGACCAAACTCCAGATGCTACTGGGGAAGGGCACCTGGAGGAGGAACAGCGTGGTCAGAGCGGGCTGCTGGGAATCATGTCCCTGTCTGTCCTTTTCTTTGGCGGGAAGAGAATAGAGAAAGCGTAGTCAGGAGCCATGACCTCGGCCTCAGGGCTCAGAGCCCACCCACGTGAAGAAGCCGCTTTCTGTGCCAAAAGCACAGGCCCCAGGCCCCGCATCTTACTGAGAAGGTGGAAGGATGTCAAGGGCCGGGAGAGCACGTCCCGGAAACTCTCCAGCCACTCGCCCTGCTCCTTCTCGCTGGGGCAGGCGAAGAGGAACCTGCGCTCGGGGGTGACGATGGTGAGGCCCGCTTTCCAGCGGTTTCCTTGGACGTCCCTGGGCAGGCCTTCGGACACCTCGTACCCCTGCTCCCGGCTCCCGAGGAACACCTGGCCCAGGTCAAAGGCGTCCTGGAAATGGAGGCCACAGGGTCATCAAAGGTCACACCTGGGGCACAGGGGCACCTGCAGCCATGACCACCCCCAAACTCTATTTTAGAAAGAGGTGGTGGGCATGTCACTATTGAGGATTTTTTTCAAGGTGGGTCCCAGAATCTGAAAGGATGAAACTGTAAGAGAAATCACACACATCATCTGTTCGAATGGTATTTAGTATCGCTTAGTTGGAGCACTGTCCTGACACACCAAGTTTCCAGGTTTGATCCCCAGTCAGGGCACATAAAAGAATGCATAAGTAAGTGGAACAAATTGATGTTTCTCTCTTTCTCTCTTCTCTCTCTCTCTCTCTCTCTCTCTCTCTCTCTCTCTCTCTCTCTCTCTCTCTCTCTTTCTCTCTCCCTTCTTCTTTCTCTAAATTCAATTTTTTTTAAAGTCTTTAAGAAGATTAATTTTTTTTTAAATGATACTTAGTCCTGACCGGTTTGGCTCAGTGGATAGAGCATTGGCCTGTGGACTGAGGGATCCCAGGTTTGATTCCAGTCATAGGGCATGTACCTTAGTTGCAAGCACATCCCCAGTAGGAGGTGTGCAGGAGGCAGCTGATTGATGTTTCTAACTATCTATCTCTCTCCCTTCCAAAACTCTGTAAAAAAAATCAATAAAATATATTTAAAAATAAAAATAGTATTTATGGAGAGCTAAGCACCAGATGGTGCCTCATGCAATCCTAATGGCAACCTCTCAGGAAGGCACTGCTAGTAAGCCTATTTTCCAGAGGAGGAAA